AGGAAATGGTCCAGTTGATGCTTTTAAGATCCTGATCTTCTGACTGGCACTTGATGCTGTTCACTGTCATATCAGGGAGGGAGAGATTTGGTGTTGGAGAACAGAGAGAATGTGAAAGAGCAGAAGAGAAACAGTCAGTGGCTGCAGCCTTACTCGTGTGAATACCGATTTGGCTACAGCTTACCTCTGGGACGCCTGCAGCAAGCCAATTACCGAGCCTCAGTCACAGGGAGAGGAAGACAGAAACACCAACTGACTGAAGCAAATAATACGTTTCAGCTCTAATTGTAGCTTCAGCTCCAATTTCGCACTGTTGTTCTTTTAGCACAAATCCTAACAGCACCTGGTGCTTTCCTGTTTAGTATTTCTCCCCGCTGCCCTCCAAGCACCCCGATTCCACAAAAGACTTCACATTGGGAGTGCAGCAGCAGAGAGGGGAGGAAGAAAGGGGATAAAAGCAGTGGCTAAATAATCCCGTTTAACTCTGAAATGTGCACTGCTGCTTTTATTCTTGACACACAGTGAGCAGGCCCGGTTCAAGCCGAGTGTGGGTTGAATTGGCAAACAGAGTAAGCAGTACGGGAGAGAAGGATGTTTTGAAATGAGGCTTGAAAGGCAGCCCAGTTTGCAGCTCAGGGAATCGCTAAAAGTCTGCCGGGAAGGATGTAGAGAGAACGTGCAAAAGAGAGAGAGGGATAGGAAGAGGAGGTGACAGTGAAAAGGACTGGAGTTGATGGAGGGAGCGCGAGCTGGCAAGGTTATGGAAGTTACAGTCGGAGATGAGGAGAAAAGAGAGGCGAAGCTGGTTCTCAGGTGTGAAATCCAGAGATGTGGAAACAGCCTGCTACTCTTTTCTCAGTCGTCTCAGCAGTTTCCTTCAGCTCATTAGGAGTTAGAAAGTCCAGAAACGATATATATTTTTTTTCCCTCTTTCATCTTCTTCTCACTCCAATTTTATCCCTCTACCTCCTCCCTACCCAATCTAGCATCACACACAGCTATGCCACGTGCTATGAACTGTGATTATATATCTTCAGTTTCTTTGACCAGTTGGATTCAAGGAGTGTCCATTGATATTATTATTATATATAAAAGGAAACAAACACATTAGCTTTATACATAGTCGTTATTGTTTTGCTGAGAATGATTTCCATTGTTAATTATGATTTTCTGCTTTTTGTGCGACTGGAAAAACACTTCCTGTCTGTAAACTTACAGATTGTTTTCACATATACATATATATTGTGTGAATTCTACTATGCATTGTACAATGGATCCTCTTTAATTGGATGAAATCCAGTAAACATCTTGTTTTTTTGTTTTTTTTCAGGTGAAGCAGATCTGGATGCAGTGTGTGAAGCCTGTCTGCCCTACCTGAGCTGCAGACAACCCACCCGACTGCAAGAGGCCTGTCTAAGGTAACACCTCACTGTAGCACCGCTGTTAACCCTCGGCCAATTTTAAAGTACTTTCATTTCATAGCACTTTATACATCTCCCCACTACATTCAGAAGGAAATGCTTTAATAGCTGAAGGTACCTAGTAGATTAAGATTTTTCATACAAAGCCACATGTTATGGATTACTCAACTTTATATTGTCAGTGATAAAGGAGGAGTTAAAAACCTGTTTGTAGTGGCGGTGTATAGCTCACCTGGTAGAGCCTCAACTAACAGCGGCCTAGGTTCGGTTCCGATCTGTGGCCATTTCTACAATGCCCTCCCCAACTCTCTCTCTGTCCCACTTTCACAGCTTGCTCTCCTTCATATCAACTAAAGGCAACAAAAAGCCCCAAAAATATTCTTAAAAAAACCCTGTTTGTATTAATGATAAATAATATATAAACTTTACATATAGCACCTTTCAAAACACAGTTACAAGGTTGAAAATAAAAAATTGAAGCCAAACAATAGGAAACAATTAAAAGCGTTAGCGCTAAAACACAAAAGTAAAACTTGTTACAGAAGTGAAAAGAGTAAAAAGAGTAATAACATAATAAAATGATTAAAATCACAAATAGTCTTTAGTCAGTGATTAATGAGTAGGCAGGGTTTATTACTTGCAGATCTAGTGGAAATAATGCTAATTCAGTTCTCTCAGTCAAGCAAATGCACGACCGAGGTTCACTCTAGTTTCTATCGCTGTACCTTTTTTCCTTTTTCTCCTCCGACTTCTTTCACAGAGGAGAGTTTCACTCCACTTATTCTACCATCACAGTTTTTCCTCTAACTGGGGGAAAGCAGCTCCTTTTTCTTCCACTGATGATGATTGCTGGTTGGCAAATAGCTTTTCAGTGCATTACTGCCATCTTCTGAACATGAGTGTTGATCCTAAATGCAAGTGGCTCTCATGACTATACCATGTGATGCTGTTCAGTCTGATCTAACGGGAAAACAAAAGCAATGTCCCCGTCCTGCTTTGGAGATTTTGTACCAAGTAGCAGACAGAGATTGCACAGTGAAAGTGAGGCTTATAGGGAAACAATGTACAGCTGGTGTCATCATTTTATGGCCCTTTCATTGTGCAATCAACATTAACTTTGCAATAAGTTTAAGTACAACTTGCCACTTGAAATAAAAGTCTACTGTGGCATTTGACCACGCCACGGGGTTCCCCTCACGACCGCCAGAGACAGACCAGTTCAACCATTGTGGGTTCAGCATCGTTTATTTAAGGTCAAACTGAACATACAAAACATGTAACTTAAATGGGTCCAGCCCTATCTGCTGGACCTCTGGCTTCTTGGAGTGTTCTCTGAGCGTTCCCCCGAGGCAGCTCTGCTGCCTCCTTTTTAAAGTCTGAGGATCAATCAGCTAACAGCTCTCACCTGTGCTGATTGATCCTCTGTGGTGCAGGTGAAGGTGCTCTCTCTGCCCCTTCACCTCCACATCTACATTCAGGGCTTTTTGCTTTTTTCAAAAGAGGTGTTGAAAAGTGAGTGTATTTTGGAGCCAGAATATAAGAGGTTTGATCAGTTAATGAGCTGTGTTTAGAGCATCTTTGTATTTTTGACTGAGTGGACTTGAACGTGCACCGTTGGACCGGTTTTCTTCTTTGCAACTGGTACTTGCGTAGTTTCATTTGGTTGAGATACTGGTGTGGGTGAATGAGGCTGTTTGGATTGAATGATAAGACAGGAGGAGGAGGTGTTATTATAGATGAGAACATCAGAGGGTTTGACAGACAACAGAGGAAGAAGAGGAATATATTTGGGATAGAGAATTTGATGTCCTGAGTGATGGTGAGGTAAAATCTTAAATACAACTTATTAAACATCACACTACAGTTCTTTCAGATTTCCTAATAACTAAACAAACAGGAGTGAAACTCTTGTGTTTTACTTCCTAGCTGGTGATGATAAAAACTACCTGAAGGCTTAATTCTGTGCCTTCAGTAGGAGGGCAGTGTCAAGTTAATGAGCTTATAGTCAAACTGTAGGACAGCACAGTAAAGCCAATGAACCTGCTGTGTTCAGCTCACTCTGTCTCCTTGCATTACATTAACATGTTTTTTATTTTCCTCACTACAGATATTATGCGTTTTAGCAAAAACACAGCCCACAGCTAATCCTCCACTCTTTCACTCCTCCTCACAGCGTTTTTCGACACTTAATCCAGGTGGACCCGGACTCCTTCTGGTTTACCCTGAACGAGCTGCACTGCCCGTCCACCTACACCCCGCCACACCCCGACCTGCTGCCCATAAAACTGAGCGGGATGGGCAGGCCGAGAGACGAGTACTCGGACAATGTGCTGAAGCTCCTAAAGGAGGAGTTCGACTGATGATGCGACGGTCGACCAGAGATTCAGCTAATGAGCTGGTGATGGATGTGATTGACTCATCTCATGGATGGACGCCTTTTGAACCATTGAATCCAACACGTCAGTTAACTGAACAGAAATCTGACAATCGTGCCAGAAAGAACAGCCATCAGGCTGGGATAACCTCGGTGGTGTACAAGGTTCTGATAAGCAGTGCGATAGAAAAGGAAAATGTCAATGAAGCGTCTCTGCTGCAGCGGGTGTAGAAAGCAGGAACATTTCTGACAGCTCCTCTGTATTAGGAGACGAGCAGCCCTTTGACAGTTCTTATGATTTTTATTTCATGTCAAGGCACTGACATGTACTGTGAATGCAAATATGTTTTCCATTCCTTCTCATGTTATTTCTAGATGTGCTGAAGAAATGTCTCATTCTCAGGTCCCTCGCTGAGTTGAATTATTCAGCCTCACGCTTCAGAGTGCACACAACTCAAAATGTGTCTGTTGGACTGAGAATTAAAAAGCTGACATCAAATATCTGGACAGGTCTTTTTACATAATCCTTGATCACATAGTTCCTGTTTGAAACTTTGGCCAATTTTCAACTACAGTGTCTTGTATGACTCCTCGTGCTATGTTAAATAATATTAAGGGTTTTATAGAGATACACATTAATAATCCTTATAGTAAAGTAACTTTATCTCAGGTGTTGTGTCAGCACTAGTAACACAACATGTAAAATGACATCCAGCCCTCCTAGAGATTACTGATGATTTTTATCAAATTGTAACATGATGTTAATAAGGAGAGATCTGCAGTGTGTACAAGTGATGGGCATTTTTTACAAGAGCTTCTTCTTGTGATGTAACATCAAGATCAAAACTACCGGCAAATTGAACCTACTTACAATAATTGTATATTTAAAGCTTAATATACAGTATCTTATTCCATCATGCCATAGTGTTGAAGTGTTGGTCTAAAACTCTTAATAACTCAACACACAGCCACAAGGTTGCAGCGGTTCACAGTTTACTTTGAGTCAATCCCACATAAAGGGTGAATGTCGACATAAATGCAGCGAATAAGGGATTACATGTGTGTGTTTAGGAAACCTAGAAATCAATTTTAACCAGAACAGACTCGCATTGAAAAATGTGCCATGCACAATAAGAGATGAAAGTAATAAAAATGAGTCCATGTGGTGTTTATGCTCCTCGTGATGAAGGTTCAAAGAAGGCGTGGCTGCATAGTATATGAAAACAGTCCTGGGTCTGTACACTTGTGGTTGATGGGATCGAGAGAATATTGAGGATCTGATGGGATTAGTGGGAACTGGATTTGGAGACTGGAGGTGACTGGGCAGGAGGAGGGTCGCAGCAAATCACTGAGATTACAGCTGACAGAGAGGAGAAGAGATTTAAAGTTTGGCACCACTGACATGACATGATTGGCAGATTGAGATTATGGCAAAATCTGATTAAAGTAAACACCCGACAGGCAGCTGATTAGAAGAGGCGGAGAGAGAGAGATAAGAGTGAATGGAACTTATTCTAGTTTCATTAGATCTGAAGTACTTTTGACATTACAAGGTACATATTAAATAATAACAGGCTTATTTTACATGTCCTTTCAATATATGTATGGTGGGGTTCAAACATCTTTCAAGACAAAGTGGCCCCAGATTTAAGACCCAGGATCCGATGTGACACTTTCACTTATATAAAAGTCTTCTTTTTCATTTTAAAGTTAACTTACTATTGCCTTTCATTGAGTGGAGAAAATCATACTGGTTTTATGAGATTTCTCTCTGCCCTGTATTAACTTTGTTGTATACTCTTTTCTTGATTTTGCCTAAAGGAATTACAATTTTAAAGGTGCACGTCTTCAGTAGAAACCAGTGGACTAACCCATCGTTTGCTTTTCATCAAATTTGCTACAATTAGAAAAATACAAAATAAAACCACACTCTATTGGGGGGGGGGGTGGATGCACTCTTGCCCTGTTAGGTGATGCCTTCATGAACCTCTGAGCGACCCTGGCCCCCCCACACCACGCTGATGTGCCACCAGAAGGTGAAAGATTTTGTAACTAGAGAAATCCTTGACACTTGGCAATCTATCATTGTACATGTGATCACTCAGCCCTACAGGGTTTCAGACATATGTACGTGAAGGAAACAGGAAGCCCCCCTCCATTATCGCATCACCTCACAGCCCGGTGCCTCCACACCTCATTGCTTCATAATGAATGTTCGAGCCTCCTCATGTGGGGGTGAACAAGATTGCCACACGTTTTGTATTAAGCCGGCCTAACTTAACTCCAGCGGGCGCAGCACAGTGCCTCTTTATCTCGTCCTGTGCTGTTGCTATTCATCCTGCTGCCAGGGCTGACAATAGCACCATTAGTCATCAGCAGCAATGGGAGGAGTGGGGGGAGATTGTTTGGCAGCACCTATTAAACACACACACCGCCTAATACCGTTTTTCCTTAACGCACATGGACAGACACACACACAGCAGCTAAGAGCTAAACCACAGCTTACTTCGACCTGAGCAAACACCTTATAATAATAATAATAACCCTCAGATAAAAATACGTTGTGACTCTTCAGGAGACTGAATGAATGAGTATTTTCACATTTCTAAATGAATGAGAACAGATTCCCTGTTGTTTCATATACAATTTATTTCATTTGATAAAGGCATACACTTAGTGTGAGACCAAACATTCTAGAAGAAATGTACATTATGCCTCTTTTTTTTTTAACAGTGATCTCTTCTTTACAAAACATCAAATCAAAGTTACAGGTTGATTAAAAACAATCCCATTGACCGATGAACTCCCAGTCTATGAGCACTGCTTCTCCTCCGATGGACACTGAGGAGCAAAGCCACTCTATATGGACTTGAGACACAGACTATACTTAGGGACGGACATTTTCAGGGTTTCACTAACAGCACCTTCCTCTTATTTTTCACTCTCACAGGGTGAAAAGGCTTCGTGTTATCACTTTGTCCCATTTGATCCCTGCAGATTTGTCCCAGCCAGCGCTTCACACAAGCATCTATGCAAAGAGATTATCATCAGGTTACAAAATGGCAAAGTAAAGTAGCCTGTCAAATCTTTTTAGACCAAGTCCCAAATTGCATTGAAATGAATCCTGTGTCCAGGCTCAAGAAAGTATGGTAACACTCATATTCGCAGCCCTGCACATCCAGTACAGTAGTTTATTAAGAAAGACTGCTTTAAGTACTAAGATACATAAGGGAAATCCCTGTCTGAGCAGCTATGAAGAGAATATGTCATTCATCTGTCTGTACAGCACTTTTGGAGAGCAGAAAAGCAACAGAAAACATCTGTGAAGAAAAAAAACAGATTGTTTTTGAACCAAACTAATAAATGAGAAAAAACGTTCTCAACTAAAACACTGTCTTTGTGTATGGTTGGTTGAAAAAGTTTTTTAAGAAAATTGCTGAACATGCACTCACTTTATTTCATATTATACAGTCATATATACAGAGTGGATTACAGGCTTGTAGTGGAGAGGATTGAGGCTTTTAAATGATTGATGAGCACTGGGCCAGAATCACCTTGCATCAAGATTCTGTTTTTTCTCTTCCTTTATAGTCCAGATTCAAAATTAGAATTTTAATTTAGTTATACAGATTTGATCTTTTCATGGCTCTCCAAAAGGTGACGTCCACGTGGAACAATTCTATTGATTTCTCTGCCTGAACAGCCATGAATTGATCGAACCTGCAGCACAAGGGGTGAATAAAAACAAATCACTGTTGCACTGATGTTCATTAACTCAAAAGTGCTGTGGAGGGAAATACAGCCTATGATGTGTCTTGTTTGAATTGTGCACAAACATGGTTGTAGAAATCCCATGCTCGCCACACTGCCACTGTATTTACTCCAACTGAAATGAAAAGAGGACTTATTCATCCTTGTTGAGTTCTGCTGCTCTGGGATTTTGATGAATTCCTGCTGAAGACAGCATTTACACAAACTTTGCACCATATTCATGACATGAATACATGCATTATTTGAATGAACAAAATTATGTAATGAAGCTTTTGCTACGGGTAACTGGATATCCCCAGTTTCAAAAGGTATAATATTAGCCTATGCTTTTTCTGAGGGTGTATCAAATGACAGAGTAAGGCAGTGGAAGAAGTATGAGCATGAAAGCAGGATCGTGTCTACAGTAAAGAGTGGAACAGAGCATGGGTAAATAGGAGGGCAGGAGTCTTTTTTTTGTTGGTGCTGAGACCAGGAACAGTGGAGCTGTCTGGATCTACACGTCAGCACCCCCTATGCTGAATGTCATGAAGCCAGGCTTTAAAGACAGTGAGCAGTCCGACCCAGGCCCAGCGAAAAAAGCTACATTCCCTGCACAGCTCACAGCTCCGTGCTCTAATAAACCATACTGTACATTTCTAGGGATGGTGGATTCGTGCACAGGCCTGCACTGTGTGGGAAGAATAGCTTTTTATGCTGTGACGCACATCACGTTATGCAATCCTCATGTAATCTATCACTCAGGTGTAATGAGCCGACATCTACAGCGCACAGCTCGGCTCGTTGGTGCAGTCATTGTGGCTGTGGTTACTGTCCACGTCCCTCTTCTTCAGCTCTCTGCCCGCCTTGTGCTGCTGACTGCTGCCACTGTGGCCGTGGTGAGCCGGCGATGACGAAGGCCGCTTGCTGTGCTCCTGGTGGGGCCCGTGATTCTGGTGGTGGCCATGAGCATGCTCTTTCCCTCCGCCGCCAAGAGAATCTGCATCGTCCCCGTCAGCGAATGCCACTCCTCTCTTGGTATCGTCCACAGCCTCAAAGTTGTTGTTGTGGGTGTTGTCGATGATGTCGCTAGGCGGCACCACCTGCAGGTAGGCCCTGACGCGGTGGTGACGGGCCCCGGCGTCATCGCTGAAGTCAATGACACGGCATTCGTAGGTGCCCTCGTCAGACAGCTTGACTCGGGAGAGGCGGAGTTTGTGGGAGATGTTGCTTCCTACAACCTTCACAACCTGGTAAAGATACACACAAAAAGAGATGCCATTATTTAAAAAATGTAACTCTCACTACAAGGTTTTGAAACCTTTGCTGAACAGTGTCAAATAAGCAGTTTCAGACACCAGATAAATCCTGGACCTTCTCCGGAAGAGCTGTGTGTGAGAATGCAAATGTCCGAGTGAAGAATGTCAAGATGAACGAAGATTATTACGAGATTTTCCAAAGGATTCCCAGTGAGTACGTGGGTTTGTTAATGATGTTTCCAACACATGACAAGTGCAAAAGTGAAAAAAACATAAAGATGTCAACACAGTTTTTGGTGATATGGGCAAACGCTGGTGTTCTCCACTTCAGAAGTAATCAGTTATGTCCTGCCTGCTGCACTAACCCTCACCTGAATGTCCTGGCTTATACGAACATTCTCCTGGATTTCTGTCCAAAAAAGGCAAAAAGCATAAAGATGTTAACTGATCTGAACTACACCATAATATCTGTATCTATGTATATGTCCTTCAGTTTCTTCCTGCGTTCCAGCCTAATCTTTTCCATCCTGACATCCAATATAATGTCTTTGCCCTTTATTGTATATGTAGCTGAAGATTGGCCTTCAAAGTAAAATATCTGGGAAACCACAGCAAAAGCACAAAAAAAAAGAGAATACATTTTCCCCATAACACACAAACACTTACTTTTACTATAGATGCTCATTCGGTTGAACTGTCTGGTGATTGAAGTGGTAATGAGAGCTAAAGGTACACTAGCTCACCTATTCATGCATCTACCAGTTATAACATATCACGTTGCACTGTGGGCATTGTTGAATGCATCACGATCCCTTTTACTTTAATGTTATATCATACTTGTACTAATTACTTGTACTTTTGATCTATTATGCTCTGCTACCTGACAATTGACAAATAAATGGAAGAACGGACCAATAAAGTATAAATAAATTCATACCATTTAAAGTGAGTCTTGCTGTACAGAATATATTATTAAAACAAAAAACAGACAAGCAAAAAAATAAATCATGCAACACGCTTTCCTATGTGAGGCTAATGTTGAGTAGACACAACTGAACTGGAAAATTCGGATTGTATTCGCTTTTACATTTGTTCTGAGAGTTGGTCTATAAGAAGATAGCCACAGCCAGAAAGCAGTTAGCTTCGCTTAGCATAAAAACTAGAAAGAGGATAAATAAACATCCACTTACCAACACCTGTTAATTTGTACCAAAATAAAGTACTGTATAAAAGTGCTTATGGTTCGAGAACAATAACCTTGTCTTTATCGTCATGTGGCCAAATACACAAAAGGAACTCAAGTCAATGCTGACAGCCAAGAAACTGTTTTCCTTATTATGTAAAAGCACAGCTTATTGATATTCTTATGCTTTTATCTATTCTTGTATTGTAGCTCTTATCTGTTGTGTTTTAGGTTTTATCTGATCTGTTGTGTTTTAGCTCATGTCTGATCTGTTGTGTTTTAGCTCTCTTCTGTTGTGTTTTAGCCCCTATCCATTGTGTTTTAGCTCTCTTCTGTTGTGTTTTAGCCCCTATCCATTGTGTTTTAGCTCTTTTTCATTGTGTTTTAGATTTCCATTGTGTTTTAGAAAAACTGACAGTAAAGTTGACTTCAACCTTTGTACAAATTAAGCAACTAAAGTGTAACATGTATTTTTCTACTCTTGGCGTCTCCAGTCTTTTAAAATGAAAAAAATTATACTATCAGTGAGTAAGATTTAGACAAAGGATAATTTTCACTTCCAGTCCCTGTGCACTGTTGAAATGATAAAAGCGAAAAAACTGGGCCCACAAAAAGCAGATCAGACACTTGAGAGGGATATCAATACTCTCTAAAGCGAGAAGAGCAAATCACAGTAAATCCCAAAAAGTCAAACTATTCCTTTAATTGAATTAGCATCGTCTTTGCATTCAAATTCAGTCAAGTATCTCTTCACTTGCCGGTACCACCCACTGAACAATTTTACAGTTATCTATTTAAATACATACAAATGTAATGTTTGCCCATCATATCAGATAGATAGATAATGCTGAAAACACTTCAGCCTGGATAAATTCGACAACAGCACCTCCTCCTCTTCATCCCAGCCAAACACACAAAATATACACAAAAGGTGCCACTTAACAAATTCTATTTGTGGCCTTGGAAGTATGAAGAGACCACATCTTGACGCTAAGTTAACAGAGCAACACAGTTGAGATGATGAGAGTCTGGGGATGTGACGCACCAGGATATAAATAAGACTTTGTTTATCACCCACCTTCCTCCCTGTGACGCCAGTAGATGCTGGATTGTGTGTGCATGTGTGCCGGACACGCTCCCTGCATATGCTTGTGACTGCATGTAAAACCTTGACATTGTTTTGTAGCACTGCATTCATCCTCAGTTTGTGTCGGCATATGTGAGAGTATAGCTACCATATTTTTGTTTGATAAAAAGATGCAGGCCAACATCCATTATATACAGAAAGCTCATAATGATTTTCCAGCTGCACAGCCTGCAGTGTTCAGCTCCACCCACACACACACACACACACACACACACACACACACACACACACACACACACAAACACTTCGTCACCCAAATCACAGCTGGTGCTTTCATTACAGGGAATCAGCAGCAGCTCGCCTGGTGGGAGAGAGGAGAGAGGCTTCATGTCTGTTGGTGTTTGTATTTTCACACACAAAGAACAATGTGAATGTTTTCTTATTGTTATATATCTAATATTTATAATTCTATCAACTATGTACCTTCCAACCAACATACCCTACTCCCTAACTATTTGTGTACTTACCAACCTACCTACCTTACAACTTGTGTACTTATCTATGTACCTTCCTACCAACACCTACCGAAAAACATACCTACCTACCAATCTCCCTCAGCACCTCCCTTTGCATAGCTATCCTTATAAAACCTCCATTAACCTTCATTAACTGTTGAGAGTCTAACCAAATCCTTATCTCTAACCATGACTAATCGATGCCTAACCTTAACCTTAACCTAACCACAATTCACATCTATCATAACCCTTAACCAGAGCCTCAGAATATATGTTTTGCCTCATCGGGACCAGGTTAGGTCCCCATGGGGTCTACTGTTCCTCACAAAGTCAGTGTTTATGCGGGAAAAGGTAACTGTACACACACACACATACACACACACGCGCGCACACACATAAACATAAGAGAAGGATTTGTTGCGAATTTTTGGAATTATGACATCCTACATTCAGCTCCCTTTTGCAGTTAATTAGAAGGAAAAAATCCACAATTTAAATAATTCAAGTGTATGGTTGTGCTGTCTTCCTCAGTAAAAAGTCCTCCCTGCTTATTATGAAAAACTGTTCGCATGGGTGAGTTACTAATCATCTCTATGGACACCAGAGGAGTTATAAAAAGTTCTACTGACTTCCCAGCCGGTCCCCCTCACTGTTAATAATTTGGATATTGTTGCACTCATAAAGGTTGCAGAGGCGTTTATGAGAATCTGACGATGATGCATCGCAGGCCATGCCCCCTCAGGGAGGACACCACCCACAAGCACTGTCTGCTCTTTGGCTGACGCTGTGATTCTACAAACCCATCATTGACAAAGTCAACATGCTACTGGGTCTGTCTTCTGGAGTGGTCACTGCACTGAGAGCATCATCAGGTGAATAAAATCCTTGTGTATGTAATACAGCATGAGTACAAAATCTGCGAAACAAAAACTTTGATTGTAATCATATGGGATTCTGCCTCATTTCATCATAAAAGCTAAGAAAAATGCCTTTCTCAAACAAGGAAGGCAGATAGTGGTTAACTCACACTTATCTTTGTAGCATCCTTTGGCATCTCCTCCTCGGGAGCCACCTGGGAAAAAAACAAGAAGAACAAAATGATTTAATCCTTTTGTATCATGAGGTGGAAATGTATAGACAATAGTGGACATACTTTGTTGAGCCCCAGATTGGTAACACATTAAAAAAAACAAAAAACTACTGAGTAACTGCTTGTGTTTCATCCCAGGAAAGTCACTAAATAGTTATATCCTAAGTTTAAACCCAAATATAGGCTGATTATGTACCAAAATATATTATGCATTGACTATTTAAATATCCCCAACCTTTAAATCCTCCTGGATGCCATTGCTGGCAGTGGGCACTGATGTAAAATAAGTAACACAAGTTAAAACAATTTTTTTTTTTAAAGAAAAGTTAAATGACTCCTTTCCTATAGTCAGTACGTTGGCCACAGATGGGACACATGTTACAATTGCACTGACCCCTGCAGACTACTGCACCAGGAAGAAATGGTATTCCACAATAGAGCACACTTCCTGGTAAACATGACTCTTTTGACTGGACAACAACAGGGGGCAGCCCTACACAGCAGGTTCTGCATGTGATCTGCTAGTTGCTGTACTGACAGATAAATGGATCAGTCATGTCTCATCCACGTGCTGGTGTCAATTTAATTGGTTTGCTGTCTGTGGTTGATGCTCCTGATAGTGCTGGAGCCTCAGTGTGAGACAGAGTACAGACAATGTAGCTGTGGCGGTTCTGGCTTGTATGGCGCCCTCGGCGAACCACCCCAACATATGTGTATATATATT